TCTTGCTCCTCTCCAGATGCAAAATCTTTTAATAACATTTGGCAAGTTACCCTGCACAGATAATTCCCACGCTTTGCTCTTCTTACCAATGCAAATCACAGGAGCAGCGCCCTCCCACAGTTATGTACATCACACACCTTGGGAATAATCTTATTACTACCTTTTCTCCACCAGCCTCATAGATCCTGACTGTTAAGGACAGATACATTAAATCACCAAAGCTGAGTGCCTTTCATCTTATTTGTGGCCTTTTCTCTTTAAGCTTCTCCCCATCACCTATAGAAACTGTTTCAAATGCAATGTAACTCTGATGCTGAATCTGGCTATTAGAAATCAAATTTCAGATGATTCCACGCACCTCTGCTATTGCCTAAATTGCTTTGTTATTCTGCAGAGCAGTTGCAAACATGCCAAGGTCATCAGTAAAATCTCACTTCCACATTTTAACTGGAGAAGTTTGAAAAGCACTGTACCAAAGTGCACTGTTTGCAAAAGTACCATTCTGAATCCATGCGGGATGGTTTACTAGTTCTCAGTGATAAATACATTCAATGTCACATTTCTTGGAAGCTGTTGATTTGCTGTACTGGGTCTGGCTAGAATGGAGTTACTTTTTCTTCACAGCAGCCCCTATGGCACTGTGGTTTTTATTTGCAACTAAAAGTGTTGATAAGACACCAAAGGTTGGACTATTGCTGAACAGCACAACCTGAAGATTTTCTTTTCCCCTATTCTATATCCCCAGCGAATAGGCTGGGGGTGCACAAGAAGTTGGGAGGGGTCACTGGCAGGATGACTGACCCAAACTGGCCAAAGGGGTATTTCATATCACAATGCCTAATTCTCAGCAATAAAAACTTGGGTAGAGGAATAACCGGGTGGAGGCCAATTTACAAGGCAGTAATTGCTCAGAACCTCCCTGGGCACTGGTAAGCAATGCCTTTGTATCATGAGTTTCTGACCCACCTCTTCCCTTCACTTATTAAGTGTCTTTCTGCTAAGGCACAAGCTTTCTCACTTTTGCTCTTCCTGTTCTCTCCCCTGCCTCACTGAGGGGCACAAATAAGCAGCTGTGTGGGTGCTGAGCTGCTGGCTAAGGTCAACCCAACACATGTGCCTTCTCACTCCCAGGAGAAGGTGTTAAGTGTGACATACCACACCAAGAATGTCCATTTCACAAATAATTCAGAAGCATAAAACTTACCAGAAGTGCTATCATAATTACTTAAGTACACATAGCTTCCAGAATAGCAAAACCACCACATAATTAACAAGATATTAGATGATCCAGAAACCCCAAACATCTTGCATGCTATGCTTAATATAGTGCCTTTTGTTGGAAGCTATACAAAGGTTGTTTACATACCAAATATATTCAAAGTTATGCATGTATTCTAGCAAAAACAAATAAGCAAATAACAAATCAATGTATTAAAACGAGTTCTTTCTCAGTGCAATGAATACTGCAGTTGCAGGGTTGTAACAGCTTTGCAACTGCTTGTTCTAGCAGCAAAGATGTTCTTAATAAACATATGACCTGTGCAGCTAATTCACATATGATAATTCTAAGAGTATCTACAAAGGAAGTCCATGATTAAAATCAGTATTTGAAAGCTTACCCTTCAAGCCACAACAATGGAATGGGCACCTGATAATTTAAGACTTTGGTACTCTTCAGAGAGCAATCAATACTACAAAAGTTTTAAACTACCTCACTTTTGTTCATGCTTTGCTCCTACAATCCTCAATGCTCTCACACTTTATGTCTGTTCTAAAGTAACGCTCCTGCACCTTGTGAGGTTTTTCCTCCCAGAGTTTATCACTGCTACTCCAACAGTGCACAGCAAGACACATCCCACACTTTTATGGTGCTCTCAGCATGTAGTTCCTATTGAAGCCCTATACCTACTTTTTTAACATCCTCCTCTATTATAGCAGTTGCACTACAGCTCAACTGAAATGGTATAAAGTATTCTGACGTTTCCAGAGAATTTTAAAACACAGCACAGCATGTCCCTAAGGACTATCTTTTGGAGGCTGACAGAGTTGTGCTGCTGCATTTAGAATAAATGGCCACATCAAATGCCGTAGCAATTGCTCTGTTTGTTTGGGTTTTTGTTTGTTTGCTTTTATCCTCTAGGAAAAAAAAAGAAACCCCTTACTCCTGTGTTTCATTTAATCAAACCCTGTGAATCCTTCTTAAGCTCTTCTAGTCACATAGCAATAGTTTTCTTAAGAGCAAGCATGCCAAGCAGCTTTAGAAAAATAGTTTCTCAAAACTGCCAGAATACGAATATTCCTTAAAATTCAGACGACTTCAAATGAGCAGTTTGGAAGCAGAATTTCCTTCAGACTTACCTCAACACTTCCATCATTTGTAATGACGGTACACTAAAGATGCACCCTTATCATTGCTCCTGATGCTTTTGTTGTCCGGCTGACTCGGTCACACTGAGAGCTAGCTGCACTCACAGCCAGGCCTCCGCACTAAAAGCTTTAAAGCTATTACAGCGAGATAGAGACCTGCTTCACGTGTGGGAGACAAGCCTGCACCTGCCGGATGCGGACGGACCGGACTCGGACGACAGGGAGCGAAGCACCGTACCCGCGAACAGGCGGCCGCACGGCGTTCGCCCCCCCCGGCACAGATCCTTCGTGACCCATATTTCTCACACGAGCAAGATTTGTTTGCTCTCAACTCAAAGCGGCAGCTCTGGCCTTGCCCGCCCTCCCGACACGGGCCTACCCGGCCCGCCTCCCACCGCATCCCTCTCCCCTACCTCTCTCGTCCTCGTCGATGCGCAGCGCCATGGAGATGCACTCAAAGGCCCGCTTGTGGCAGGCCCGCACCGTCTCGGGCGCCCCGCCGGGCTCGGGCGCGTCGCTGGCTCCGGCCCTGCTGCCCTTGGCGGCCATGAGGGCGCCGCAGGAGAAGCGCTCGCAGAGCCAGGCGAAGAGCAGCCCGAGCTGGAAGGCGACGAAGCGGAGCAGGGCGAAAGCGGCGAAGAGCGGATACGAGAAGTAGTACAGATTCCGCTTATGGGGGGAAGCCGCCGCGGCCGCCGCCGCCGCCCCCGCCGGCGGCACGGGGGGAGCCGGCCCAGGCGGCGAGGAGGGCGAGGGCCCGGCGGCCGGAGGCGCGGAGCTGGAGCCGGCTGAGCCCTTCTTTTTCCCTCGGCCGCCCGGAGAATTCATTCACCGCCGTCGCCATAACCCGCTGCCAGGGACTGACAACAACCGGCCATGGCGGCAGCGGCGGCGACGCCCCTTTCGTTCAGCCCCAGGGGGAGGAGTGCGCAGGGCACTTCTCAGACACCGCCCGCCGTCGCCCTCAGTGCCTTTGCCGGCGAGCCGCAGCCACAATAGGAGGCGGAGACGGCGCCGCGGGGCGCCTACAGCTCCCGGCCTGCCCCGCCGGCCGGGGCGGGGACTCCAGCGGGACGTAGCACCGTGTCTGTCAGTGCTGTGCCTATGCCCGGGCCAAGCCTGCGGAATGGCAGCACACTGAAACGCAGCGGGTGGGAAGAGGATGAACCTAATTAATTTAATAACATTAATTATTCCGACTGGCGCTGTGAGCCGCCCCGCACTGCGGGGTACCTGGCGCCGCTGTCGGCGTGCAGGCGTTGTGGGAGGCAGATGAGCATCGTTGGGAGGAATTTCCTCCCTCCCAAAGTCGTTCGCAGTGCGCAGCAGCCGATGTCCATCCTGCCGCCTCTCGTATCGCCCCCGGGAACATGGCAGTGGGTTCTCCGGTGATTTGACCACTCCACGTCTGTATAGCTGCCGTGACAGACTGCGCACGACCTGCGCCTGGGGCCGGACCGAGCCCTCCCTCTGAGCTGCGATCTTCCCCTCCTTTCATTTTCGGTTGATTTGCTTTGTTTTGTCACACACTCTCTGCTCTGCAAATAAAATACTCAGAGCTACTGTTAACGTCATGACAGATCGCTCCCTTCTACACCCCAGAAAGGTCAACAGAAGCCAGGCTGACACAGAGTATGAGTTCATAACTCGGTGCACCAGCGAGCTGCTTTCCCTTTCACAGCAGGAAATTGGGGCAGGTGGGGGTGTTAATTAAAAGGAATTGAAATCACTGCCGTCCCCGATGTGTTACTGTCTTTCCCCAAGTTACTATAAAATTACTGTTCGATTACTTTTCTTGTTTGTGCCACACACCTGCTTCTAGTTCAGAAAGCTCCCTCAGTAATGGGTATTGTCTCTACTTAAACTGAGAGTTACTTTAACAACAGAACCAAGTATTAGTTTTCTTACTGTATAAAATACATGATTTTATTAATATATAAAAATCATAAATATACAACTATTCATGACCTAGATAAACTTACCAGTGCCAAAAAAAACCCAACAAACATTGAAAAAGGCAGGAAGTTTCATTATTTTTCATCTGGAAATGACTGGAAAATAATGCAGCAGCTAGATAGGTATTTTTGGTTTGTTTTTTTTTTAATATATATAAGTGCCCTTTTTTAAAAAAAAAGTTATCTCTCCTGATGTAAAAATGTAGCAAATTTTGGAATAGAGAATTTCAGAAAGTTCGATGTTAAAAAAATGTAGCGCTCAAAAATGTCTAGAAAAATAAGCCCCCTATCAATAGATAACAATCTATAGTCACTATTAGCCATCTGCCAACTCTAACATCACCCCATTCCTGAGCAAAACAGAAAAGCTGGTGAAGGAGAATAAACTAAAGGACAGACTGAATGACAACAGGAAAACAGTAACTTTCAAACCAGCCTGATGAGTTAATCTCCGCAGACCCCTTTAGTTCCTAAAGGCAGCATGACGGCTGTATAAGCCGTATGGCCGCGCCACAACACCCCACAGCCACAATACCATCGCTGCTTTACACCCCTCAGCCCCGCTCCCGTGATTTAAGAACCGCCGCGCGACCGGCACTGCCCAGCGGCCCGCTTCCGCGTGCCCGCCCGCCAATGGGGAGAGCGGGTTGAGGCGCGCAGGCGCAGTTTGTCGGGAGTCTGCGCCAGCGGCGCCACTTCTTCACTTACGTCAAAACACTTTACGACGCCGTGCGCGGTGGCAGTGGTTGCTGCGGTGAGGCTCTCGGGGGCTGCCGGGTCCCGGCCTTACACACGGGTGAGAGCGAGGCGGCTGGGCATTTCCCAGGCCGCGCAGTACCCGCGGGTGTCCGCGCTGCGGCGGGGGCCCGGGCGTGTCGGCGGCGGGCCCTGGGGCATTGGCGCTCTGTGCGGCGTGAGGAGCAGGGAGGGAGGGAAGGAAGGAGGGTAGGAAGAGAGAGGAAGGAAGGGTGTTCTCCTTCCTGAGGAAGCACTCGACTGGGAGCCTGCCGTCTCGGGGGACTCCTGTTTTAAGTGAGGAGTACCGTGTTTTGTAATCCTGGTACCGTCTTCTTCAGCCCCTGTCGCGGTTCTGTGTGTGGGAGAAACGCGTACAAGTTTGGTGGTGGGGAGGAAAGCACGGAGCCACTCAGTTTGCTCTCTAGTAATTGTGCCTTAATTGCCAGTAAGCGATACGGTATTAGTCTGCTAACATTGGTCTTCACCTCAGCCTGCTGACCGGTATTTTATGGCTTTCCAGATTTCTGTGTGTCCAGCAAAGTCCACTTTTCAAATCATGGAGGCAGAGCAGATTATGGAGGGACAGCCACAGGTACTGCAGGAAATGCTTTATGTGCATAATGCTACATGTGTGAACGGAGCTTTTTCATTTTGCTGACTGTGTGTTATTTTTCAGGTTCCAGAAAATCCCCACTCTGAATATGGCCTCACTGAAAATGTAGAGGTAACAAAGATTTTGTTGTTGTGAAGTACCGGGGAAGTCATATTCCTGATCAAGGGGGAAAATGTTGAGTTTTGAGTCTAACTTCAGCAAATACAATGTTCCCAAGAAAGTCAGATAGAAATTGAACCTACAGAGCAACAGTTCGTTAATATGTGTTCTGTTGTGTTGCTTCCATGATACTAAATGGTACTGAAGTAAATAACGAAACCTTTAATGAGGTGGGGGTTTTTGGAAGTATCCTAGGATCATTATCTATTTCATCATTATCTATTTTATATATATATGCTTTATTGTGCCACAAAAAGCCAGGCAGACTTAAATTACAGGGAAGTGAATAGGAGGAGCTGATGGAATTTCTAGAGAAGTATCAAAGGAAGGGATTCTTTTCATATTCACAGATTAATCCAAGCTGTCTTTAATTACTTATGCTGAGAAAGAGCAGACACAATCCATTCTCTCAGCTGTTGGTAACAGGGTGGATTACAGTAATAACCCTATGATACTTCCTTAATATTTATTAAAAAAGAGCCTTCAGTCTCCTTCCATTATCAGCTTTTTGCTAAGCTTTTGCAGAAACCTTCTCTTAAATATCCTTTGTGACTCATCCCCCTGCTTGTTTGTTGGCTTCGACTTCTGCTACAGAACTTTAACACGTTGGATATGTTGGTCCCGTATCTGTAGATATGCTTATGCTCCCTTGAATACATTTGGTTTACTAGCAGTGGTAGGGTACCCTTTTTTAACTGCAGTTAATGGCGTAAGATGATTCAGCACTTTTTGACCAAAAGCATTTTTGAAGCATTTTGCATACGTTTTCTTCAAAGGGTCCATCTATACTTTTAATAAAGCACAGTCTTGAAGTGCTTGACTTTAATAGAGTCCCCTTGGTCAGGCTCCACCTGAATTTCTCATGCTGTTAGTGTTTTGTGTTCGCAGTGCATGCACACAGGAACCATTTAATTAAGACTGTTCTTGTTAGCAGTCATTCCAGTCATTCTTGGGTGTAGAATTTAAATCTCTGAATGGAAAACAGAAATAAAAATGATAGAGACTGGTATCTTCTGATTTAGGAAACTCATGAATTCCTAATGTTGTTTCATCAAAAAGTAAGAATTGAACAGAAGGCTCCTCTGGGTTAGGTTTTTATGCAAGGACAAATATGCACTTAAATTTTCTTTCATCTTGCCAGTAACTTGTAGGAAGATGGGTACTTTGCACTCAGGCTTCAAAGCAGATGTGGCTGCGAACATTACCAGTGTTCATTTCCCACTCACCCTTTTTTTTTTTCCATTTCAGAGGATAGTAGAAAATGAGAAAATAAATGCAGAGAAAACATCGAAGCAGAAAGTGGATCTTCAGTCGTTGCCCACACGTGCCTACTTGGATCAGACAGTTGTACCTATCTTACTACAAGGACTCGCTGTGCTTGCAAAAGAGAGGTAAGATGCTTCAGTGTCCCTTCTGTTGTTGGGAAAAAAAGTAGGTCTCAAACATTGGTGCTATGTTACGTTTTCAGACCTCACACACCAGACAAGGCTTTGCTAGTTGTGAGAGTCATTACAACAGGTTTGTGAACCTATGAATTACTCTGACCCTGCAGGATGTGTTCCTCACTTAGGTGCATATGGCATGATAGGTTATTATTTGAATTTGTGATCTCCGAGTGAGGAATACTACTGCAAAGGTTTTGGGAGCGGGGAGGAATGTATTTTTTAAATTAATTCTATCACATAATTCACCTAATAGAAAGATGGCAAGAAATTGTTCTAGTTTGGGCAAGATTTTTGTAGTGTGGAATTATCAAGAGTTCTGCTTCCTTTTAAAAGACAGACAAATTTGGCCTGATACGCATCTGTTGAAGATGAAAACGTTTTCTACAGGATAAGTCTGACTCTGTACTGTCAACACAGTAAGAAGCAAACTGATAATTTGTCCTCTGAGTAAAGGTTATGCTGCTGAGGTGCTCCAAATCTCTTGTCAGTAAACGTAGAAGGGTATACTTCCATAACAGCAAACAGTTTTTCATCTTACACAAATTAATTTCAGCCTTTTGGTGTATCTAAATTACTGGTGAGTTGTACTGTGTATAGTTTCTCAGTGGTGCCAAAATAACACAATCAGAAGCTGTTATGGGTGACCCTAATAGCATCGTGATACCTACAGGCAGGACAACCACAGGGTCTTCGCCTCAAAAAGATTTGTGACTTTGAACTGTGTTGTACAGACAGCTATTTAGGCAAAAGAGTACCTTGGAAGGTACACCTGTGTGTCCAGCCTGTGGATCTTCAGCTGACATCTGTGGGAGCTCTGCTGCAGACTGAATGTAAAATAAAGCCTGAGGTGGATCCCACACACTGACAGTTTGGATACCTGTGTTACAGACAAACCTGGTTTTTATTTATCTTTATAGGAGCTGCTCTTTCTGGGGATCGCTACAGGAGTGAAATTGGAATATTGATAGAAGAGTTTGGGGAGCATACAGGAAAAAATCATAACAACATAAGTACCAAACTGCCACAGTCAAATTGGCTGTTCAGTTGAGCATATGAAAATTTCAGGGGTGAAAAAGCTAAATTACCAGCTCGGCTGTATAATCTTCTGCTTAAAATTGGACTGGAAAATAACTAATGAATGCTAAATATATTTTCCTAAGAAATGTAGATATGTTCAGGGAACAGCCTAGTACATCTGATGACTGTCTAGAATTCAGTAGAAATTATCATCCAAGATAATGAGCATATGGATAAATGACATATTTGGGAGAAGTAAAAAAAACTTCTGTCAAGTCTTGTAAGTCTCTTGGAGTTAAAGGAGTGAACAAACTCCTTAATTCACTCTTGCATTGACCTTCTTCATTCACTCCTTCATTGAACTCCTTAAATGAGCTCCTCCAGTGAACTCCTCCATTGAAGGAGTTGGTGAGCACATGTAAACAGGAATCCAGGTGATAAGACTGTTCAAGTTTCCAAAAAGTTTTTGACACAGTCATTCACTAAAAGCTTTTAAAGGGGATTAGTTGCTGTGGGATTAAAGGAAAAACCTTTATATGGATGAGGAACTGATTGGAATATATGAGAGAGAGTAGACAGAAATGGTGAATTTTCATGGTGAGATGATCTCAACACTAGAAAATCTGGAAACAATCATTTAAAGCAATTTGAAGAAGTGGCTGGCAAAATTTGTTAGATACTGAGTTTTCCAGAACAGGTTGGGTTTCCTGTGGTTTTTGTTTGGGGTTTTTTGGGTGGTTTTGTTGTTATTTTTGTTGTTTGGAGTTTTGGTTGGTTGTTTTGTGTTTTGTTTCTTTAAGTCTGTTGATTGTAAATAATTGCACAGGAACTTCATAAACTCAGTGTGAAACTATGGAAGACTGCTATGAAATTGAAACTATGAAATGACAAAAAGTGAAAGATTTAATACAAATAAACACAAAGTGATGCACCTAGGAGGATAATGCTAGTGACAAAATTATTCTTCCTTCTTGTGAAAAAAATAGCTTTAAACTGTCAAATATATGTGTCAGTGCATTGCTCAGTCAAAAAGAAATACCAAATGGTATTAGAATTTGAATGGGTAAGAACAAGCAGAATGTCACTATTTAAATTTATAATGTTCTCATATTTTTAATATTGTGTCTAAGTCACATTCCTTTGTATTCTGGTGGAACGTGAAAAAAGTAAGAATGACGAGGTTGTCAGAAGTATGGAATGCTGTCTGTATACAGAGTGACTGAATAGATACCTAGAAATGACACTTCTGAGAGAATATAATAGGAATCTGTTGAATCATGAATAGCACAAACATGAAGAGTTGGGATGGATTGTTTATTTTCTCTTCTGATAGAGCAATCCAATTAAGTGAAGCAGGTAGCAATTTCATAATGAACAAAGAGGTGATCCTTCACAGCTCACATAATTAAGCTATATAATTTTTTGCCTTAGGTTGAGGATATTAACATTTTATTTGGGGGCAAGGGCTAACTGGACTAAGTTGTAGAGGAATCCACCAGGACTATTATAGGTGCCAACACAGAACTTGGTACATGGTTGGAGGCCAAAAGGATGATATGCAGAAATATCTTTGTGCAGTTATGTGTGCCTTCACCCCCTTTTTTAATGCTCTTTATAGGCTATTTGCTCACTGCCAGGCCTTTGGCCTGACTCAGTATGGAATAAGTAAATTTATTCTGTGGACAGGATCCAGATTATCAAGATTCATGCACTGTAGCTGGAAGAACTTTTTTAAAAAACCTTGCAGGTGAAGGCCAGTGATCAAAAGTGTTAGCGACCTCTTGCAAGTTACAGCACCGAGAAAACAGCTCTAACGCACAAAGCTATGCAGTAACCATTTGGTGAAAATGAAGCAAGAAATCTCTGACAGATTAACTTCCACTTTATGCAGCACGAGTTACAGAAATAGGCAAATGTGTGTAACTTCCAATGGTGTGCATGCAGTATTTACACTTACAGACTGTACTCTAGTTCTAGGTATGTGGCTGTTCTAGCAAGTCAGTAACACTGAACCAGCAGTGGCTACAACTCCTTATTAAAAACTTTCTCCTCAGACATAAACTAGTAGTTTACAGGGTAACTCTAGGGAGTTGATTATCCCTACATCAGTGTTTGTGTCTGGGAGGAATTATGTTGCTTTTAAAGGGAGGGTAATTAGTTCTTCAGCTATTTAATTTAATCTAACAAAAATTAGTAACATTTTATTTATTTTCTTCTTTGCAGACCACCAAATCCCATTGAATTTCTAGCAGCATATCTCTTAAAAAACAAGTCACAATTTGAAGACCGAAATTAACTCCATAAAAATGAGGACAGTTTGGCTGCTAGACTGAAATGTTCATTTGCCACAGTTTGTTTTCTGCTGTAAAAATCCTTTGGAAGTTTGATGTCTTTCTTAATCACACAGTTTGCTTTACCTTTTGAGTTATTTAATAAAGAACACTTTACTTTTAATTTGTTCACTTGTTTTAAACCAGTTATTAAGAGACTTTCAAAATAAAGTACAGAAACTGCACTGCTGGATGAAAGTCTGAATAATTCCATAGGGCTACCTCACCTGATGGTGTATGACACAAAGAGGAAAAACTCCTTATGGGAATCACATAGGTGATAATGTATGTAACTTAATTTGATTTTATATAGCATCCTCAACACGCAACATGCCTAAACAGAAAGCAAACAAGAGCAGTTAAAATTTATTTTGAGGAAGTATTGATAAAGCAGAGGGGAGAGAAGTTGCTTCAGAAGACCACAAAATGGGTTTAGTTAGAACAAACTGTTAGATTCAGCAGCTGAACAGCTCAACTGCAGTGTCAGATGCAGATGTGTACATTCATGAGGTGTGCTGTTCAGCATTAGTCATTGATCTTCTGTGACCGCTATGCTGAATTTAATTGGCAGAATAAAGTTTGAAGGGACTTGGAAAGGTTCTGTAATTCAGTTCTCTGTATTGCTACCCTAGTTAGAATGTTCCCTCTCTGTCCAAGATAGAATCATAGAATATCTCCAGTTGGAAGGGACATGTAAGGACATAAAGTTCTCAAGGACTACCGAAGACTAAACTGCATGACTGAGAGCGTCATGCAGGCACTCCATGAACCTTGACAGGCTTGGTGCTGTGACTAGCAAAGCTCTGAAATACCAGAGCTGTAGCTGAAGAACTAGCTAGCCCATGTTACTGGCAATGGAACAACCTAAACACAGCCCTCAGAAGCCCCATTTTTGTTTTCTGAAACTTGTAACAAGGAGCATAATTAATGTTGTTCTCTAGCGCTGAATATGGAAATCTAGATTAAGCACAGCCCAGTTTTTAACAGACTGGGAGAATAACAGTAACTTGTTTTGATGGTCACAGAAATGGTAAACTTGGCTTTTAAGAGTTGCTCAAATAATCAAAATCCTAAATTTTTATTCAAATAAACTTCAATATTGCCATCGTAGCATTCCCATCTCCATTTTGTGCTTCTACCTAATTGCTTTAACAAGGCAGGCAGTTAAAACCTAGAAAATTAAATTCTTTGCTGCAAGGGCTGGAGATGTTGAAGGCTGCTTGCTTTTTTTTTTTTTCTTTCCCAATTATGCATGAATTCAGAGTAAGAGACACATTAAGTTCTCATTCGACTTGTTCCTACAATGACTAAAAAACCCATGCTGTATTGGCACTATATTATGTGGCCCACTGCGCAGTAGTATTTTCCCTTTGTTCTCTGACATCTAGATGAATTTCCTATGGTAACATGAAGACTTTTGTTTTAACATGGCTTTTCTTCTTTAAAAGCTTAGATACATGTATGTAAGAGGGGCCAGAAGACAGATCCTTCAGAGGAAAGTATATTTCACCTGTGCTAGGGGCTGGGATGAGATCTGGCTGTTACTCCTAGTAGGAATGCTCTCAGTATTTTACATATTTCTTAAAATGCTAGGAGGGAAACATTGAATTCGCGCAGTCCAAGAGCAGTAAGACTGGGGAACACAAAAAAAAAAATTTAAGAGACCTGCAAACCCAAACCCAAGTCTAAAAAGTTCTGTTTTGGAAAACTTACGGAAACTGCAGAATGCAATTACTAATTCTATTGCATTGTGGTGAACATACTCTCCATCAAACTCTGACGCTTCAAAATGATTTTAACTGTGTTTTGACTTTCTGGAACGAGTAACAACATTTCAGTGAAGAAAAGAAACACCATAAAGACTTGGTAGTGATGTTTTTATTGCTGAAGCAGCATTCCAAGGTTTCATCCATAGGTGGCAACATCGCAAGATTGTAAGAATTGTTAAATGGGTGGGGAAAAAAAAAAATATCTATGCTGCTCCCCAATTTCCATGTTGAAAATTTGTGCAAGACCATACAAAAAAAAAAAAAAAAGCAGTTCAGCTATCACTCTTCCCTAGACAGAGCGGTTTCCTTACACTATATCGTCATACCTGAATTAAGCATACAATCAGATTTCTCATTTTACAGTAGCACCCATCAAGCAGCTGCACAATGCTTGCAACCCCTCCAGCTTTCTGCACAGCTCTTGCACCAACCTAGAATCTCAAAGCATTGGTACCAGTCTTACAATGAGCTATCCCTGCCAGCAGCAACCCACCTACTCAGCAGCTGGTGCCACTGTCTGGTACTTGGTGTCACCTACTGTTGTCTTCCCATCTAGGCTAGTTGGAGAGAACGGAAAAGCCATGTTCACACAGTGATGATGTTAGATGTACTACAGCAGCTTTTCTGGACAGCTTCCTGCAAGAAAGCAAGTTGAAATATTACTAGCAGCAGTGAACTCACCAGCTCTATGAAATTAATCTTTGTGATTCTTGCAAAGGCATGACAAGTCAACAAGAAAAGTGCAACCATACTCGTTACATTGGCTTCACCAACTGGGATCTGCTGAATAGAGAATACTCTGTAACAGGAAGAAGATGGTAAGGTACTATCTGAATAATCAGATCGTATCTGAATAATCCAGTTGTCCAAGTTAGGAAAGTAATGATAAAGTCCAAATTTTCAAAGTATTTACTGGTTTTAAAGGTTCCCCGCTATAAAACAATTAAAATTCTCTGAAAAGACTTGACAGATGCTTGCTATCCCGATTTAATCCAGAAAGAAGTACTTCTTTTCCTTAGCAAACACCAGTTCCAAGGCCTTCAAGAGAAATGTATTTCATTTTGAAGTACAAATTAAAACCCAAGTGATTTCACATTTATAAAAATGAGGAACTCATCAATAAAATGAACAGATGGAAGGGGCTACAAATTATTAATAGATGTAGAATAAAAGCTTGAAGAAATAATTGAAAATGGCAACTTCAGATGTATGACAGGCCACTGCTAAGTAGCTGAAAGCCATTATCTCTTGATTCTTTAACAACTGTTTTTCAGTTTTCTCCACACTACCCTAGGTAACTGAGTTAGTATATGCTCTAAAGGGCAGTAAAGTTAAGCAGAAAATAAAACAGAAAACTGATCAACACCAAAGCACACCTTACAGGACGACTATTTTAGATCCAATAACCAGACACTACTATTCATTAACTGTGAAAGAATTACATATGACTCATGCAGTATTTTGAAGTCTGCCTTTTTAAATGATTCCACAAATAACATTTACCTTGAAGGGGACAGTAAGAGAAGACAGTAAAAGCAATTCTGATCAAAGGGTCCTCTATCTTCATACTCTGAAGCCTGTTACCACCCAAAAAATACTGTTTGACTTGCCAATTTTTATTTTTTTATTTTTTTTTAAATCTCTTATTTATCAAGGACATTCTCCAAAATGAGTACAGGCTTTTGAGCTATGCATTTTCTTTTCTGAAGTGCTGTCACTATTTTAAATGTGGTCTGAGCTGAAGAACTTGTCTCTCTTCATCAGACTTTCTAGAAATGAAGCAGCTGCTTTCAAACAAATGAAAAACATGAAAAACTCTGACACATACAAGCAGTAGAAACCAGTAGATTGGAAACACATGAGAAGAATCCCTGTGCCTACCATGCTTCACAGAGTACAGGTCTGATTTATTCTTACCACTGTACTAATTATGTAACATGATATTCTTAGTCAAGCCTTAGCTTGAGTTCCCTGCCTCCCTTGCACATCAGAGAAAAAAAACAGACTGACGTAGTAGGTCTGAACAGGTAAGTGCTCCTCTTACTTCTCCCTCTACAGACAATGCAGGAGGATCTCCGAACATATCCCATGCTTCACAGCATTCAGCTGAAAGCTCAGCCTAGTTTTTCAGCCTGTGGCTAAAATCTTCCACATCCTGAGCATGAAGAAGCCCAGCACCAAGCACCACCATCTTCTATTTAATTGAAGAGCAGCCTGCTTTTCTGTTTCTGCTGCCTTGATTTTTATTGTGTGAAAGCTCTTCCTCTAAATGGTAGAGAGGAATACCAGATAACTAAAAACTATTTTAACCTCCAGTTCCCCTAAGATGTTTTCTCTAGCAGCCTCCTCTAATTCTTCTCGGTGGACTGTGGGACAATGGTGCATCAAAAACTTGAGCTGTATGTTGCTTGACCTTTCTGTAAGTACATAATCACAACGTTTATTTTTCTCCATGGAGTAAAATTTATCATCTGCTGCATTTAGTTAACTTTGTTGAGGGATGAGCAGTAAATTCCGGAACTATTCCCAGTACCGAAGATTTGTACTGTAAAAGACTTGAGAGTTACAAATGGGTATCACAACTGCCAATATAGCTTTATGTTACAGCAGTCAGGCTTTATTGACAAATAGTTCTTCCAGTCGAGACAGAGTTATAATCCATGTTAAGCTTTTTCAACACACTATTTGTAAAAGAACAATGGAATAATATAACGATAGATAGAATAGTGAAGGCTATGTTAGGCATTTTCTGGGACAGTCAGGCTCCATTTCCTCATGGCAACCCATTACAAACATTATTACTTGGAGATCCTAGTCCTTGTTGCCCCTCAGCTGCACTGGGAAGCCAGTGTCATGGGTGCAGAGGAAGGTCGTCACTGATAAAAGTGACATCAGCCACACCTCTACAGCACAAGCCTTTTTGCTCTTCAAGACATACTGCAAACAATGCCTTTGTCCCTCTCCTTTGCTTAAAAAAACACAACAAAAACCACACAACTCAACTAAATCACTCACACACAAGCTCTGTATTTTGCATGCATTTATAACTAGCTGGAGGACTTTATGAAGAATAAAATCACTAAGGGGGAAAAGGAGAATGCGTTTCCTGGCCTGGCTC